CAATAGAAGATTTGAATCTTGGTATTCAAAATCTTTATAATATACAGATTTTGTGTGTGCGCTTTTGCTTAGATTATTTGCATGGATAGTTGGACAAGTGCATGCATGCAAATCAAAGGGCGACGGGGGATTCAAAACTGCATTCAAATAATTTACGCATGGCACGTTATCATCAATTATACTACTATATATATTGGAACTATAATTGGCACGCATGGCACGTGATAATGTATAAGGATGATGATTAGTTAAAAACTTTTTCGCAAAACAAATTAACGTGAAAGATAAATATTTAAGTATTTAGCATATCAATTGGAACTAGTTACATTAAAAATAAAGTAGTCAATCTATTAACACGTTAAATTATATTTGATAATATAAACTTTGATATTTTTATAGATATACTCCCTCTATTACATTTCATGTGCCAATGTTTCATGTTTGGAGTATGAAAATGGAATTATTTAATTTTTAATATGAATTTAGACATAGATTTCTTGAATAAGATTATGTATTTGAAAAGTATATCATAAATATTATATTTATTAAAAAATTACAATAATTAATAATTTAAAATATTTATACAAATTTAAAAGTTGTGGTCAAACAAAAATCTCTCGGACTCCGAAATAGTGCTACTATATAGAATGAGAAGTTAAATAGAATGATCGATCTTTAGTGATATAGTAGAACATCAAAGTTGGATGAGATACAATTATAATTAGGGAAATAATTGAAAAATTGGACTGAAGACAGCTGGGATCCACAAAATCAGAGGAGCCACCAACGGAGGCGGTTCCATAATTGAAAGTTTATGGGTTTCTAAGCAACCCCAAGTTAATACATCATGATAATTTGACTAAGGAAGAAGTACGAATTCAACACATATTTAAAAAATAACAAATGTAATATAAGAGGCAAACAAATGAAAAGAAGAAGAAAAAAAGATGAAGGAGGGAAAGTGAAGGACCTGGCAATGGCTAGCTTTAAGTGGCAGTTACAAAAGTCGAAAATTGGCTCCCGTTTTGTTTTATTTTCTTGTGAAAGAATTTTGTCTTACAATTTAAACTAGCGCAGCAAGGCTTTTAAAACCCTAACCTCTTCTTATTTCTCACCCTTTTTGTTTCAATGTTTGATTTGGAAAATTGAGATTTGGTTCTCTTTTTAGTTTGACTTTAGTAATTTATTATGTTTTATTAAAAAAAAAGAAAGTAAAAACTAAAAGTGTAGCTATAAGACCGAGTGGTGTTTTGTAAGATTTTATTAACAAAATTAAAAGGATAATGTTTCCTTTTATATATTTTGACAACTCTTAACAAAAATTCTGGTCCGCCACTGTAAGGAAGCGTGAGCATATTTGTCATTCTCAAAGACTGAGAATTATGGGTGGTGTTCGTGGCTTGCATGATTAAGCAAATCCCCGAGTTTCATTTGAAAGGGTATCAGTAGATTGCAATTACGTTACTGCTAATACTGGTATACTACGTACTTTTATAAGCATTTGAACAGACCCCATCATTATCCCATACCTAATTAAAGAAGGGCGTCGGTATATCGTTAGAGGATTAATTTAACTTAACTATGTATATAATAGTAACATAATAAAATAACTAAAATTATACTGTATTTTAATCTCTTAACGTACGTCGAACATATCTTGTCTTGAATTATAAACTACTAGTTTTACTTATTATTATTTTTATGCGACAAAATTAATACAAATTCTGTCACATGGTTAATATATAAAATTTAACTCGTGGTGAAGTAGCGATTTGAAGATTGAAGGGAGTGGGAAGGTAAAAATGTATAGCAATCTCGAAGGAGGACCCAGAATTTGAAGGTCGCGGGTGCACTTTTTGATTAAACCAAAATCTGTTTTTGTATATAATGTGCATATTATTAATATATCACTATTTTCTAGAGACATATAAATGTACATATAAAATTTTTGCCGTACTTCACGGGTGGCGGTGACCCTTCTACGTATTGCATATGAGCAACCCAATAGATATATGATATGTATATGAATTTAAAAAAAATCTAATTATAATTAATTAATATATATATATATANAAGTTTTTAGTACGGAATAGGAATTGGGGATAGAGTATGTATTCTAGATGTAATTTATGCAATGCAACGTTTATAGTGATTACAATATCGGGTAAATCAAAGAAAGAAATGGGGGGGTTTAAAGAGCATATTTTGGAAAGCGAATCGCCAAGTCTGGTCTGGTCTTCCCGTTTGTCGAACAAAAGGGGGACGCCAATCTCAAGATCATCTTATTATTCTCTTTTTTGAATCTTGTAATCGAATCCAGTGGGAGTTTTTGTTTGTTTGGTTTCGGCTTTGGACCCCATCATCATTCATATATATCATCATTGAGTACATAAGACTCGTGGGGTCCCCTTTGTTCTTTCCTGTTCCCTATACTCACCAAATCTGCATATAGTTCGATTTTTTTTTTAAAGAATAAAAAGAGGAGATTTAGTACGATTGAACACCTTTTCTTTTTTGTTTTCTTCCCTTTTTTACCATTCTAAGTTTGCATCTTCCCGAGTCAAAGATTTGCTCTCTTAACTTCTGATGAAAGAACATTGTTGCTTTGATGATTGCCTTCAGAGTATCCCATTTTCATGATTCCTATTCCTATTCCCATTTACTCGATCGCTTTTTGTCTACCATCTACCTTATCCAAATTTAATATTTTAACTAAATGAAGGCGACGTACTATTATTAATTTATAGCTGATTCTAATTTGCTTGAAACATTACTATTGTTGTTTAACTCAACGTACCATTGTATCACTACTTAATCAAAGTTTCCAAATTTACATATCCAAATATTGGTTATATTATTATGGTCGGTCACGTATTAATTTTTTGGATATTCTTGTGATGATTTGATTTGACAAAATACTGGCTTGTGTAAAATTAAATCAATGTCGGAACTTGGAGTCAGAACAATGACGAAAGAATCAGATTAGCTAGCTGCACATATATAGATAGATTTAATCCGTTCACGTGAATCCAGGGTACGGCTACTGACTACTGATATACTATGGACATGCAATGCCTGAAACTGTTTGTTCTTGTGATGTGTACCTAATTAGATATGAAAGCTGGAGGAATGGTGTAAATCAGAGTAAATAGGAACACTTACTCTTATCATTATCACTTCGTATCTAGCTACTTCGATGGATTTGTTGAATTACCTACCTCGGAATGGATACCTGATTAGAATTTGATCTGATTAAATCATAGAGAAGCAAAGTTCAGTAAGAGAGCACACACGTATAACATGATCTAAGAATGTTACGAATGAAGGAATCATGAGATGTTTGCACTTAGATTGGAATGTGTAATTAATTATTTGGCTTGGGAACGGTTTAGATTTCGATAAGCTAATATCATTGGCATGCATCCAACTGATTAAAGGACTAAGGCAAAATGACAATGTTTACACGTGACAATGTTTGGAATAAGACGGTTCAAGAACACTCTAACTATATATCAGTTCTAAGTTAAATCCATTTTTTCAACGGGTGTCAAGTTATTAACAGTATTTCTACATCGACTTGCAGTTATGTGAGGCATCATTCGCACAACTGATTGTGCCAGAAATATTCTAATAGGGAGATCTTTTTCCTTTAAATTCGAATTAGTCCCAAGTTCCAAATCAAATATCGAACATTTAAGGGAAAACAAAAAAAATATTGTGCCATGAAAAGATTAAAATGCAGTCATAGTGTTGCAATTCCATTTTCCTTGGGAGGGTGGCAGTGATAGTGGAAAAAAGTTGGGGGAAGGGTCGGGGCAGATCGATATACGGATACCGACACAAGTTTGGATGCAATATTGGGTTTGAGAATTGTGGCCTCGTGATCGGAGAAGGCAGATACATTGAAGACTGTTCCTCCTAGTCACGTGTATTTCTTTTGACCAATTAATTTATCTTTCTCAGATCTCCTCTCCAAAATACTACTCTCACTTTATGTGATTTTGTTTGACTGGAAACAGAGTTTAAAAAAAATAAGACTTTTGAAATTTGTGATCCTAAATAAGTAAAAAATGAGTTATAGTATTTGTGTGGTTATAAAAGTTTTTCATTAAAAGCAGAATTATAAGTTTAAGCAAAATTATTTACAAATTCAAAAAATGATCATTCTTTTTTGAACGGAGAAAAAAAAAATAGGATCACACAAAACTGAAACGGAGGGAGTATGCATTATATACAGTGCCATGTAATTTATTTTTTAAACATTATTACTATAATTATTTAAATCTGATAGTAGGTTGCCCAATTAATTTTATCTTTTTTTGTTTATTCCAAAAAAATTACATGAAGTGTAACTTATATTAACTGAAGTGCAACATCATATTTAATTACCATATCAGAATATCACAAAGATAATTACAAGTAATTGATTATAATATATAAAACTAATTATCTAATCAATAAGACAAACAATCTATTATACGCTAATTAAGGGACTGTTTCGTTTTTGTAGGTTGATATGGTTTATTGCTTTTTCCTTGCACCTATTTTGCTTAAGGGTGTTGGTACACATGTATCACTGATAGTATTATTATTTACATTATAATCAGTGTGCTAAATTTAAACCCAACAATAATTTAAATTATCAAAGTTCTACTATCATAGAACTGCCAGTATTACTCAGGTATTAAGAAATCATACACTCCTACTAAAGAACTACTAGGACTTTAAGTCGTTTCTTTACTCTTCTCCAGTCGATCACTTTGAGTCTTTTGCTTTAGCTTCTTCCCCTCTCTTTGTTCTCTTTCTGACATATTCACTAACTAACACATAAATCTGGGGCCCTCTCTTCATCTGCAAACAAAGAATAATCCAAAAACCAAAATTTAAAAACATTTGACGACAACGTGGATTCTTGCACCTGCTGACTGGTTATTTCTCCAATTTAATACTAAGCTTATAAAGCTAACAAACTACCCCCACTCCATCATATATTTCTCTCTTTCGTTCTCTACAAATAGCCTAAGCTCTCTCCCCTAAATTCATTTCATCCCATCAATCACTTTCTTTCACTCTTCTTCTAAAACTCTATTAGTTCATTAATTTCATAGAGCTGAGAAAACTAACACGATGAATAGTTGCAGTAGCACTTATTGTCATGGGGGTCATTGCACTTGTGGTATGTTTCACAATCAAAACAATAGTAGTACTGCTTCTGCCTACTCGATGCTCTATAACCAGTATCAGACAACTCCTTTTGAAGAAAATTATTCTGATCAAAACATGTATTCTTTTGCTTCTTCTACATCATCTAATTCAGTGGATTGTACACTTTCATTAGGGACACCTTCCACTCGTCTTAGTACCAGCAATGACAATAATGAAAAGCGACTTCAGTCTAATGAACGTCGCTCTAATTCTTACATGTCCAAATGCTGGAATATTTTACAGTCCAAAAATCATAAGTCCAGTCGCGGCAGCAGCAATGGCAACACTAACTCAGGCGGCGCTGATCCTCTTGTTGCTCGCCGATGTGCTAATTGTGACACCACTTCAACACCTTTGTGGAGAAATGGTCCTAGAGGTCCTAAGGTATATATTTTAAGCTTAACTATTAAAATTTTATATACGAACAAGTCATTTGAAAATCAATTGGAGGTAACTATATGTATTAAAAATGTTTTGGTAATTTCCAAAAGATGGTAAATTAATGATTGCAATCAGGAGAAGAGCCTATATGCATTCGATGAAGGGTTCAATTGAATCCCCTTTTATTAGAAAATTCTATCGAGCAAATAATGTAAATATAAATTATTTATATATAAATAAATATATTGAATCACCTTAATATAATAAGGAAACCTTCTAGCAATGTGGCTCAAAATTTACTTTAAGTCATTAGTTTGAATTTAAATTTTGGCATTTTTGTATTTCTTGAATTTCCTTTTAATAATTTCTGATTTCACCGTTGGTTGCAAATATAAAAAGATATTAACAATGTAAAAAGAATTTATATCGTTAGTTTACATAAGTTAATTTAGGCGAGTAGAGAATTATCGATATTATTATTAGCGAACACATGTTTTCATTCTCTAATGGATCGGAGTATAATATTGAAAAATGTGCAGTCACTTTGCAATGCGTGCGGAATTCGTTTCAAGAAAGAAGAGAGAAGAGCCAGTGCGGCGGCGGCCACCGCAAACGGTGGCGGAATGGATCATATGATAAACGGTGGTTCATGGGTTCATCATTCACAAGCACAGAAAATGCCGTGTTATTCTTCAGCCGCCTATGGAAATCATGAATTCAGGTTCATAGAAGACGATGATCGTGATTCCGATACTACCATTCCCTTCTGGCCTTTTATGGCGTCTCAACGTTGCTGATCAGCTTACAAACCTATCAACAAGAAGAAGACTGAAAAACGCAGCATTTAGCAAAGTTTAAACTTCGAGCAAAGAAAAATTTGCTTTTTTGGTCCCTCAAATATTAACATATTCTTATTTTTGTCGTTATGATATATAGTTAAAGCACATTTAACTTTCAGTTGATTGAGATGTGCACTTTTGATCATCTTAAATTAAGTGACTAAATTTTTAATTCACAGATATGTTATCTTAAATTTGTTTGTCAGCGTAATGTATTTCTTGAAATAGTTTAAAGACAAAATATTTTCTATATGAACGACCAATAGCACACATTATAATTTCAACCATAGTTTAAACATATCCACCGTTTACAAGAACCAAAATTAGAATTTATCAATCGTAGAGAGACAAAAATATAATTATCTCAAAAAATAATGGCGTCCCCAGCATCTTGTCAAGATGATGTTATAGTTCTGACATGATAGCTATGGTTCAAGATAAATTCTTTTCCTATCAGTTGGTTTTCTTTTTAGTCCATATATCTTTTGAGTTAATTCTATGTTTTTGTTTAGTGGCTTTTCCTTCTTTTAGTAACAGAATTGTACGTAGTTACTTTAACTTTTCACTTTGATGATCAGTCAAACATATAGACTAAATAGTTGCTCTGCTTCACAAGTGGAGTACTTTCTTGAATATGATGATCGGCCACTTCACTTTATCAACTGAAGTTTACTGCTGTTTACGCTACTACTAAAGACTGAAACAGTTACTGTACAATTCTTCGTTTTCTATGTATGAATGATCAAATTATTGCCCAAACCGCTGCATCGTTGATCAGTTATTATCAGCTTGTTTAATTTCATTTCACTCTGGGCCAAAACTGACAGTTCATTAGATGTTAATAGATGAACAGAACACTGCACTCAGCATGGTATGGTGGATATGAAAATCGTTCTGTTCAGATGTGACAAAAAAACTAGTGGCCTCGTACTAGGACAAAAGTTTGGTATTTAAGTTTTAAGTGAAAATATAGAACGATAGATGCGTTTGTAGGCAAACAATATACCAGACGCGAGAATTAATATGACAGGTCATGATTGATATTTTCTGATTATTTTGTTTCCCTCGTATAACACTTGGGACTCTTTTTATGAGTTAGGACTCTTGCTATTTCTTAGTATTTGTTATGACTCTTACTATTGTAATCCTCTGTATAAGAGAACTGATGCTTAACAATAAAGTTGCTGAACTTCTCAAGCTATAGAGATTTGGAAATTTTAGCAAACAAGTTCCCAGGTCTAGGTCTGTAGTTTCTTGATTGAATCGAAATTCAGCAATTATCGCCAAGTCAAGGAACAAGAACAAAGGCTTAGACCTTCACGTTGGGCCTGATTTTCCTGTTAACCGTCTAGCAATTCGATCCAAAATTAGGGATCATAACACTATTATCTGCTCTCTCCGGTCCATAATAAATGATCTTTTGATCTTTTTATGTTGGTCCAAAATAAGTGTTCTTTTACCTAATCAAGAAGAAATTAATTTTATTTTTCCAAAAATTGTCCTTATTCACATATCCCAACGTGTCAAAGTAACAATTAATTAAGGAAAATTTAGTAAATACATTTTTTTTCTCTAGGAGTGCGTATTTTCTTAAAGGGTACGCCAAAGGCTAAAAAGTCAATTATTGTGAACCGGAGGGAATACTTTATTATGCATCTTAAGGAATTTCTTGATTATTAAAAAGTTGGTGAACTCAAATAAGGATTCAGGATTATTTCATTTATTTGCCTCAATCTCTCGAGTTGAAAATTTTACATTTCACATTCAAATAGTATCGTAAACTTTGTGTCAAAGAAACTTGCGATGACCCCACGTTTTCTATTGAAGGTTCAAATTCTTTCACTCTTTCTTTAGCAGGCCCAAAAAATTAAAAGCCCAATTACTTGCTCAGACGTCTACTTTTTGAGAGGGAGAGGGGGTTAGCAAATGGTTGCTTCTAAATAAACAGAAATGATTGGAAAAAGAGGAAAAACTTGATCATGAGATTAGTCCTGCATCTGAATGGTGCAAAATTAGAAGATGGTAGAGTGAAAATTTCAACTAATAAACTGTAACTCCAGTTTTATCTAAGCGTACGTTCTGCTTATAATTATTTCCTTTTTTTTTTGTTCATAGATCAATGTCTACGTTTTGTGACTAGTATAGTTGACGAATAAATGCATCAATACAAAAGAGTAGGAGGAAAGACAAAGTAATAAGAGTTTGTACTCGACGTATTAAATTAGTGGCTTGCTAAGCGTACTATAAAAGTTCGGTTGCTCATTAGTCCCTTTATTTCATTTTATGTATCTTAATTTGTTAACTTTACTGTATAAATTTAAGAATGCAAAAATATTACAATATTACTAATGAATAAACTAAAACCACGTGTAACATACTAAAAACTACCCTTTAAATATTGAGGTGTCTTGCATATTGCAATGTTTGTTATTGTGGTGTCTTAAATATTGTGATGTTAAACGTGTCAATCCGGCTTATAAGTAAAAGTAATACTATATCTTAGATAATACATAAGGTCATTGGGGCTTACTCTCTACTTTTATTTCATATATAGCTTATCATATTTACAATATAATAAATTGCTAAACGGGGTTAGCTGCCTGCTAAAATGGAAATGTTTTACTGCTAATTTAGTCGTCTGGTTTTGAATAGGCATTTAATTTAGCATGTTTTACTTGTAGCTAGTGATCCTTTCAAATCCAAGGATTTATTGACCTACGAATCTGCTATTACGCAACTCAACCACCGGCTTGACTAATTATAAAAACATACTTCATGGTTAAGTAAACAAACGAGTTAACTCCACATCTAACTCCTAACAATGTTCAGAACTTATTTAGCGGATTAAACTGCTTGGCAACATGAGTTCCATCTGAATTGTACAACATTCTAGATTAGTGGGAAGAATTTATTGCATGACTCGGGTACAAAACCTCTAACATTCATACTCCCAAACAGGGATGCAATTTACATACTGAAGCTTCATATTAGGGAAAAGGGAAGGAGGATATATAACATTGCTGATAACTCACCAACCACAAGTAAAGTAGGCAGGGCAATTTTCTACATCACCAACTAGAAGTGTAATTGGCAACAGTCTTCATGCTGCTTGACGCTGATTACGTGCCTTCTCCTTCTCTTTGACCTCACTCCTTGATTAGTATCATACTCTATTTTATCAATAAAAATAGAAGAATATTAAGAGCAAGAAGAATAATATAGAACGTAAACCATTTAAGTAATTTACCAGGGGCGTTTCCATGGATTGTCTTTTCCTCATCCTCTTTGTTTCCTCCACAGATGCATCCAAAACCCTTTTCATCAGATCTCGTTGCATATCCATCTCCAAAGCTGCTCGACATTGTGTCCCTTCAATCCAATAAAATACAAATTATATGGTAATGTCCCAACACTCAAAACATCCACACACAAGTATAATAACCTCCTACAAACTCGCTCATAAACTCAAATATCAAAAGAACAATAAGAACTAAGAATCACGCTTGAAAATTCAAAGATTTCAAAGTTCATAAATTCATTTTTTTAATTTTCTACAATAAACGCCGAAACGGCCTGGGTAACCCGGGTCCCAAACCAAACATGCGTACAAATCCAAAATCATCATACGAATGTATCGAAATTGTCAAAATACCGATCTGAGGTCGTTTACCATGAATGTTGACCGCGGTCAACTTTAAAGTTCAAAAATTAAGTTTTCTTTGTAAAAACACATTTAAACTTTCAGAAGATCAAAACGGACCAGGCACACAAGTCATAAATCATTAAATTAGGCAATTCAAACTCTTAAAGAATGAAATGGAAAGCTAAAACTCAAAACGACATATCGGGTGGTTATACTTTTGTCACAACCCAAATCGGAGAGCCGCGACGGGCACCCGGTGCCTTACTCAACTGAGTACCAACGTAACGTATTTTTCTTATCACACCACCATGGGCAAATGGGCCATAAGGGCCGTCATGAGATAACTAGAATAAAACATAACGGAATACTAGATATAAGACGACCTAACATGATATAGAAACTTATACATGTGACATATGGGCCTATAAGACAGACAAGATTATTTGTACACTCAAAACATAGGTCGGCAAGGCCATATAAGTATCCATATACATGACATTTGTATACAAGCCTCTAAGAGTATATAAACGTCATAAAGGTCGGGACACAGCCCCACCATACCAATCAATACATGTCCAAATCATACTGACCAGATAGGCAACTCTGAAGCAAGTGGAGTGCACCAACACCTTCCGCTGAGCTGATAGCCTACTCGGAGGACTATCAACCTGTCTATCGGGACCCGCGGGCATGAAACACAATATCCCTAGGCAAAAGAGACATTAGTACAAATAAAGTACCGAGTATGTAAGGAATGAAAAGCAGTATATAAAAGACATGAAAAAACATGGAGTAAGGAACTCAACATGTAAGTCAGAATAGCTCTGTGAGTCATGAAACGTTTATAATGTCATGCATGTGCGTATAAATGTCATATCATGCATAGATATATGCGTACATAATATCATCAAGTCTCTGAGGGCATCCTATCATATCATCTCAGCTTCTGTGGGCGAAATTATCAACGTTTACCAACTGATCATGTGATGTTGCGTATATAACGTTGTAACCTTTCCCTATAGCCCATATACATATAATATATGCGTATATAACTCTATCTGGTCATTGGTCAATGTACATGTATAAATAAATGTAATGCATAAGAAGTAAGTTAATAAAATCTCTCGGAATGTCATAAGATCAATATGCCTTCGGTTAATATCACGAAATAAACTTTATCAACTTATGTATTTTCTGAGACCCATGAAAAGACGATATAATAATAGGACATATGGGGAATCAAGAACATAGGCAACCCTAGTACTTCTAAGAATAGAGTCATTTGTGAAAATTACATATTTGCTCGTTTCGTTGTATCATATGGATCATGCCAAAAGAAAAGAAGGGATAGTCTTAACATACCTTAACCCCGTTTAGTCCTTAATACCTTTCAAGCAACTCTTCAAACAACTCAACTCAATCTACCATAGCATAAGGAGATTCAAAATCAGTGCCGAGTAAAGGCTAAGTTCGTAACTTAAGCTATTAGCTCGTTGACGTAAATTCGACAGCATCTTGATAAGTGGGGATTTT